AGAACCTCTCGTTATATCAAATTTAGAAAGTCATACGATATAAACAGTCCGGAGTCCATTTTTACAAAAATATTCTATCCAACGCCTTCACTAACACTGAGATTTCCTCGTTACGCGATCGTCGTTATTTCATTCATCTAAATATGGAACTTGAGAGATTCCCTCATTACCGTCTGTTTTGCACAAAATTTACGGGCTGTTAATCTTAGGACTCTTGTGGTGGTGTCTACAACGCTGACACGTCATTGTATCGATGTGTTTTAGGTGCAGAATGATGGGTGTGTAGATCAAGACGATGATCTTCGGGTTTATGTCATAAGACAAATCAACAATAGAAATTTATTCTATTTTGGTTTCATCCAAGTGTAAATGTCAGTATTAGACAACCTACTTGTAAACTCGTCCCAGAGAGCACGATGATGTAATATACAATCCCGTCCAGCTAACAATCTGACTTTGTATCCATGCTATTGATTTCGTATTGATTTTGACACAGATGAGGTTGTACTTCAGCTGAACTTCTCTATTCTTTCGAATATCGTTTTATTGTTTGTCTTAAATTGACCTACAATAATCATCATATTGGATAAAATAATTCAATTTGAGTGGTTTAGTGATTACTGAGTGAGGCAGCGCGAGTACATTCCTAGCTTGACGGGCTCCCAGGACATGTCACAATGCTGCCGATGAGGTTTTGAAGATAACCAGCTGCTTGAACTCTTCATCTCGTCCTTTTTGGATACGACCTGAGTGTAGTTCGAGATGGCTCGTTTGACAGGGTTGCGCACTATGGCAAATGAATGGATCAACTTGTGCATTTATTCCGTTTAATTTGTCCTACAATAGTCATCACACTGGATAAAATAATTCAGTTTGAGTTGTTCGTTGATTTCTGAGAATAATTTCTAATTTCACTTTGACATTTGGATTTTGCATGGTTAATCCAAAGACGCGATCGCCGAACTTCGACAGTGCGACGGAACATTGCGCGACAAATCGGATCGGGCGCGAATTTCAAAATACGATTTTTAAAACCTTTTTACAGTGTATGAGCGCGATGCAACGATTTGAAAAAAATACTGGCCGATTGCTCTCTTCGACCTCCACAAAGGCATCACTCAATAATAGCTTTAAGGTGATATGGGAAGATATTATAAAAGAAAAACCAATTTGCGATGTTAATTCCGTATGTCCAGACTTGGATGCGGCACCCTGTATAATATGATTTTCTTGAAACCGCAATAAATCCAAGGCAAAATGGTGAAAGGTAAAAAGGTTTGCAGACGAAACGATTGAGAAAAAAAAGACTAAAAACGAAAAAAAAATGGGGACAGAACGGCGAGAACGCAACGTCGGACACAAAATGCCCACATTCTCGCTTTCTCAAAAGCTGACACTTGTATGAGAAAGCACTCCGTGAATTTACAACATAATTATTGGACTTCTTGTAAATGCTTACTTTGTAACACTAGGAACGCAACGATTTTTAAAATAAAGGAATTTCCCTCTTCGTTCTGTTTTATCCCCTATTTCCAAGCTGCAAACATACTTTAAAACCACAGTCGCAAAGCGACGATATACGTAATTAAAATTAACAGTTAAAATAATGAAAGTAACTAACCACGAACACTAGTTTAGAATGTATACGTAATCATATTTTATTCCGCATGAAGAAACTCAATTTTTTTGCCATCCATTTAGGTCTTTTCCCTCCGAACACATGACTAGCCATGAAGACATTGAAAAATCTTTTTTATCGCTTCGCGTATAATTTAGGGAACGGCATTACATCTTTTATTATGTTATTTGAAATTCTCCGCATGTATAGATATGAATAGTTGGGGTATCATCGTTCTTTGTGCTGTGAACGCGCACGTTGAGAAATCTAGCTCGGGCACGTATTAGATATTTTGAGAAAATGCGATCCGAAAGTTGGTAGGTTACGCGTTGATATTGTGGTTATGTGGATATGTGTTTTCCTACGAAATGTCAATAAGGGCAGACCCACTGTCTCTGTGTTTTGTAATTTAATAAAAACGCTCCTTCAACTTTTATTTGTTTTCTAGTGCTCATATTCGACATTTTAAGTGCGTAATATATAATGCGCTCAACTTTCTTTTATGTAGCTATTTATTTTCTCCGTGAAATTTCTTTGCAACTACAAGACGACAGTACTTCGTCTGTTTTCCAGACATATTTATTTTATGGCTTTCCCATTTTTATATCCCTAGACTTTGAGCTCTTCTGGATACGAATTTTACAGCATTGATTTTTAAAAATATAACATAGCTGACATGTTCTACCTACAGCTTCTTGGGCTGATACTTGTTACATGTAGGAAGTGTTTACAAAAAAATATTTAGATCGAACTGCAATGTGTTTTTAGGAAAATATCATAAAAAGAAGCCAAAATAACTGAATTCTGTTTTTTTTTTTTTGGAGTTTTAACTCCTTTCTTCTCGTAATATAGAACACGTAGGTATACGACGCCCGCCGGAATTCCTATGTCGAGTTCGAGATACGAACTCTGTGGCGGTGTCGGTGTCGGTGACGAGGTCACTGAGACCCGTCTGAACTGAGGCTGAACATTGGTATGTAACGCCGCGCTATAGAAAGAGAGAAAGAAATAAAATATCAAAGCAGCGTCTCCTGTTCGTAGCGGTAGTAACTATCGACTCGAGCGAGATTGAGCCGACTGGAGTGGAGCGTGAAAGTAGCGCGGGCGTGATCGAGAGGAAACTACGGTCCATGGTACAACTATTTAATAAAATGTGTTCGTTTGACTGTTCCAATGACTAAATTAGGTACAACAATTGATGCCGTTTTCACACGCTTTATTACTCATTTAAGAACTAATATTTATATCGCTCATTTTAGTCACCATAGGCCACTAATAACAATAACTGTATTAAATGATAGGGATAAAGATACCGAAGACGATAACGCTATGAATGAACAGTAATTTGTATTTTAAATCGAATAAGTTATAAATATTACTCTAGCGTTTGTAAATATTTACTTGTTACTTTAGTTAAGTACACATTGTACCTTAATTTTTTTTTATACAGTATTATTATAATAATTAATTATGATGTGTCTATATGATAAATAAATAAAAAAAAGTATAATTTATAATAAACAAAATTGACAAATATTTTTGGTTTTTATTATTTTTTAAGAGAAAATTAATGGCTTCGGCGCGTATACCTGTTTAATTTATATAAATTGACAACGCAGAGTTAAAACTCTAATCGTGCGTCCCTGGGTCGACGCACTCTTTTTTTTTATTATTATTTTGCTTAGTTATGCATAGAACTCAATCGTCTTTATTTATAAACTGAATTCCGTTAATATAACTAACCTGAAGACAACTGTGAGACGTTGAACACACTTCAGCTTTTTTAAAAGCAAAAGTGACATTTATTCCTTTCAATTTAAAAACATACGTCCAACATTTTGCATTTCCATAAGGCGGAAATGTTTCGGTGAGTGTCGGCACAATTTCTTTCTTTTGTGTGCTTTTGTGACATACATACAAAAACCTATCGAATCGCCGTCAGACCAGCACACTTGGACATAACAGCTCAAGTATTATTCTATTAACTTGGTTTTTCTTGTGAGAGAATTCCCGAGACAATCTCACTTTTCAAAGCCACAACCCTATTTGTACGTCTACAGATAAACTGATACGAAGAGACTTGAGACAAGTCCAATCAAATTATCCTGTCTCAATTCGTGATGTCATAATCGTTATGACAAGTTATAAGACAAATTTTTATAGGGACGAATCGCATTGAGAGAATTAAAACTCGAGTGGTGTTGACGGACGAAACGTTTTTTGTTAAGAAAATTGGATTGAAAACAGGATCGCAGTTTTTCAAACCTAAAATAAAGTAACTAAAGTTACAACTAAAACTTTGTTGTGTCAAAATGGCGTTAAATTTACAAATAATAAAACAAAAGTTACACGTGGTCATGGAATAGCCAAAGTTTTAAACATTTCAGATTAGAAGATCATTGAGAAAGTGTTATTGCACGAATTACGTTATTTTCACGGAACTGTGGCCTCGGATGCGATTAATTTTTATGTAAATAATTACCTTTTTATGAAATTAGAAACTAAATTAGCCGTACCCTTAATTTTAGCAGAATATATAGTTTCTTATAAATTCCATAGGGCAAAAATTACAAGCAATTTATAGACAAATTTTACAAACTTTTTAAAGTTAATGCGAAACTGTAAGGAGCGGAAGTTTTACCGTACACTTGTTGCTTAAAGATTACTCATCAGTTGACCTCAAAGGTTTTGAAAAATTTCTTTCTCCCTTCTCACTTTTTTTTTTAATTTTTAAATATTTATTGTATTCTCAATTTGCTTGTCTTGATTCATGCAGCTGCCATCCACATCAAGATTATTTCTCGCTTTTTCGTGGCTTTTAAAATAAGCTGAACGTGCGTAATATGTATATATCAAAAAAGTGTCAGGCTTCTATGTATTTGTAGCAAATACTTCCCGAGTTCATCACAAAAAAAGCACAAAAAGCGTGCAGTTTGACATCCAAGAGAAATATGGCGTGCCGACCGAAAGAAATTCACCCCACATTATAATATAATAAGAATGTTATTCACAGAAAATGCAAAAATGTTGAAATATGAATATATACAGCGAAAACGTGATGTAGTTAAACTTCTTGCCATCACCGGCATTTCTCCTCGGGATATCTTCATATTTTCCATATTTTGTTTTATTCTGCGACATCCGGCTTCTCCAATTGGCGCAAAAGTTGTTTTTGCGGTTACCTCATAATCTCGGACTCGAAATAAATTGAATTGTTTCGTTACGTTGTTATCCCGGCGCATCCACAATTTTTAGTGATTAATGGAACTTCAATATAGCACTTTAATTCCGGCACCGACTCGAAAACATCTTTTTACGGAAATTTCTAACTAGGTTACTGCGCACAGAGGGCAAAGCTTACCGCTGACAATATTTTTTGCAGACCAGTCCTGATCTCAACACCACAACCAGCGTCTTAACATTTACCCCAACTGTCGAAGACGGAGGCAAATATCTATCTTGCAGAGGTCAGCAACCGCATATCTCTGACAGCGGGCTTGAAGACGGATGGAAGCTCGATATTTACCGTAAGTCTTACATGAACCCTTTATTATTATCTCCGCCTACAAATTCTTAACAACGTCACCGTTTCAATGGGTAAAAAATCTCTGTAATATAATCTAAACCCAAAACTTGAAATTACCGAGGTGAAAAATTCAGTTTGTGTCCAAGCTCTGAAGTTATCTAGAGAGAATTTCCTTGGCTCCTAAAGTACAGTCAAATTAACGCATTTTTTAGCGGTTTTCTATGTTAACAATAACCTTAAAACGTGTACAGATCTTCAAGCCAATCAGTTTCGTAGTCTCAAAGTTAATTACTGACAACATCCATAACGAAAGTTGTTTATTCGTAGTTTATAACATTGACTGTAGTTAATCCATCTTTATATTTGACAACGATCAAAGGTATTCTGATTTTGAAATTGAGTAGCAAATTTCGACAAAGAGTATTACACTACAACAAGCTGCTTCGTTAGCAAGTGCAGCGATTATATAGGATAGGCCTTGTCAGTTGCTAACCAGCAAACCATGGTGTAAATTAGGAGAGGATATCACTCCAACAAGTATAATAATTAACCGGGAACGTAAATAGAGCCGGCACTTTAGTCGGTAACTGCGGTCCAGATATGGTCTAATTTATACGGAAGAGCATCAAAAGCAGATGAGGTGGTCAGTCGGCGGTTTCCATATGAAATCCATTATGGAGGAAGCATTAAACTCGTGTCGAATTTATCTGGAAGCAGGACTTGCTCTTCTGCGAAAGGGTTCAATTAAATCACGAACGAATGATGCGAGCTAAATTCGAAATGTACTAGGACGGCTCCCCACTCTAATTTACATTCACCCTCACACATCATCGCAGATATTACTTCGCTATGCTGAGAAGCAAATTATATGTTGTAGTAGGCGTAGACTGAGAATGATTTTATGAACCTACGTAAAATTGCATCGGAGGCGTCGATCATCGTGTTTCACTATTAAAGTTGTATGATTCGTTTCGGAATTGGATTCTCCTGGGTTTTAAAGGAGTTACGGTTTCTGAAAAAAACAATTTTTAAGTTCGGTCGATTTGAAATTAATTCACGGAGTAAACGCAATCTAAATCTATACACAAATACTTTGCTTATGGTTCAATCGTTAAACAGACGACACTTCAAAAGTATAAACACAAGCCGCTGATATTGTTATGGGAGAATTTTACTAAAATACTATACAGCGGCTGTGGCAACAGAGTGCTATAAGAGTGTGCCGATCGAACTATATCAGTTTCATTCTAGAGTACAACAAAATTACCCATAAGGGGCGCTGTAGCACGAGCTAAGTTTGAGGCTCCTGGTTGTGGCTGTTCTCCCCCCACAATGAGCGAGCACCCCTCCATTACAAACATGCTGGACGAGTAGGCCGTTGCGGTCGCATTCGATTTCCATTCAAAATCTGCCTCTTTTGTGCAGATGGCGCTATAAGTCCCGTCCGCTCAACAAGGAACAGCGCCCTCCGCTTCTGCCACGTGTTTCTGTATTATTTACCTCAATTCCATTTTGAATGTTCACTTTCAATGACTCTGAGATTAAACTACAACTGCATAAGTGTTAAAGTTTCAAAAAGAGCAATAAAAAACATTTAAATTCGCCATACACTCTCGTGAAATTTTAAACAGCAAAAAATTCTTATTTGAGATTACGATTGGACATCAGAAAATTTATATGATGGAGGCACTAATGAACAAAATATTTACATGAGTAAAAGACTAGCAAAAATTTATAAAACAAAAAAAAACAATGGGTGTAAAGTAAAACGTGTGCGGATAAAAAGTTACGGGAGGTTAGGAACTGGAGAGCATGAAAAATTTACGTTTAATGTAAATTATACAACAAAGAAAATCATTGAAGCTAAAATTATGCGATAGAAAAAAAATTGTATGAGATGAAAAATTGCAAAGCTAACAAAATTACATGAGGTAAATATTTTATGTTTATTCAAGTTATTGGTTAAATATGAAAAGTAGGTTCAAAATGGCGTCGAACGAATGCGTCTTTCAAAAAAATGCATCAAAAATATGTCTCCCAGGAATGTACTCAATCCTGTGGCGCTGTGCCAATAATGGTATAAATCAAAGAAATAAAATACACGTTCCACGTGACTCACAATGTTGTTAATTTGTTTAAAGAAAATTTATAATTCAAACATGTGCTCGATTTGAAAATACTCTTTCAACATGGCCGCTGCCAAAACAAAGAATTTACATTAAGTTAAATTATACCACACTTTATCAACGATTCAAACAAAGAATTTACATTATGTACAATGATGACTTGATCGAAGTGACTGGTTACTTAAATCCATTAGCTTTGAGAGTTTATATCGTGTACTGTCCCCAGCTTATCCCAAACAAACACATCATAAATAAACACAAAATGCATCCTGCGTTGCGAGAAAAGCTTCTCGGTGATGTAATTTTCCACGTTGCGAGAAAAATGTCTCGATGATGTGATGATGATAACGATGACAATAACTGCCCAAGGGGAGAAATTTTTTAATCCCCCGTACCTCAATCCACGATATTATGAATTTTACCGCACTTTTACGGTTCTTTTCCCAGAGTGGGACAACGTTAGGTTAATTTAACTGCCGTAAATGAACTATTAGCAATCTTGTGTGAGGAATTAAGAAGTGTTATAATGTAACACTTGAGTATAAGCATATAGAAACCCTATTCATAATTTGATAAACAAAGGATGAGTCTTGACTAAGTGAATCTGATGAAATCTCCTGCAAGTACTTTTATCTGAACAAACTTATGACTGTTAAATTGTGTCAGAACCAGTTAACGATTAAAATCCTAACACGAACTGTGAATTTACAAACAATAAAACAAATTTACACCACGTTCGTCGAAAATTCGCATATTTCCGCTTGGAAAAACCGTAAGAATTAGCTACAGTCACAACAAACAAACCAAAAGTGACGTGTCACGACCCTCTAGCCACCAAATCAACTTCTACCAACCCTCTAAACATAAAATTCCCCAGGAGAACAACCTGGTCACAGTATCCTGGCCTCCCTCATTAGTCATTACTTTCCCCAAAGCTGACTTGAGCAGTAATGGCGACAACGGGTCTCCCTGTCTTAGTCCACACATAACTTTAAATTTTTCTGTTAATTGTGTGTTTATTGAGTCTTATAACCTCATTTTCACAAAACCTGTTTGTTACTTATTCCTAAATCTTTGAGAGCTTGTACAAAATCAATAAATATACCTATGTCTGACGTCTGATTGGTGTGATGTCATCACAAAATTTAAAAAAAAAAAACCGTTCGAAACATCTCGTAACACAAATAAAATTCGCCAAATTAAATTATATAATTTTTCGTAAATGCAGTGGCGAGGGAAGTTCTGTCGACACAACCTTCGACCAATTTTTTTATACATTGAAATAAATACTAATGAATAGGTAGTTAATTTTTGGCACAAAATGTGGACGAAAAAAATATTTTGTTTTCTTCCCTTTACATTCAACTACTTATCACGATAAAAGTATTTGGACTCTTGAATGAATAATAATAATTAACAAAGATGATTTGCTAATTTTGTGTAGACGTAAAGGATTTTATTCTCTCGGTATAAATATAGAAAATAAAAAAATATTATGCTATTACTTTCTGTGGGTTTTTTTTTAATAAAATAATATTTACTTGAAACACTCATGTTTATTAAATCGAACATAAACGTGGTCTAACTGGCATTGCTGACGACAGTAACCGACTTCACAAAAGTGTTTTTGTTATAGGCGTACATACAAGGAAAGCAAACTTCGTACCTAAAAGTTAAACGGGAGAGAGGAGAATATGCGACCATGCAAACTAATTTGGTCCATTACACGAGGAATCACTTGGAACTGGAACAACTTTTTCTCTGTAAAAACATTTTGTAACATCAAAGTTTTACAACACACGAGCTTTTTGTATCCCATTTTGTTCAGATATATGTGGAGAGGGACTCATGTAGAGAAAGCGAAAGACTCTTTATATGCACACCACGCTTCGGCATAGTTTACAACTCTTAACATCTCACCACATTAAATAAGGCCAAGAATAACCACTCCCATGAGGAGGAGCCATCATAAACAAGGAAGCAGTAACTTTTTGCTTCGGCAAACTTGATTAACCTCTCGACCGATTCAAATTTTTGCTGCTATCGTCGAATGCTAATAAAAAAAAACGTGTTTTCGCTTTCACTGGTTGCCTGTAGGTTTGAATAATAATTTGCAGTTGTTTACTTCTAATTAGGTGGTAGAATTGTCGAATCGGGTTAACAATTCGTGCTTGTTTCTACATTTCCTATTTCTGCGGTAAAAGGTCCATAAATATTCGCAAATGGCATCGTCAGCATAGAATCTACGCCATTTCAAAAGCGAGCGCCACGGTTACACTTGTTCTATTTTGTTTATGCAAATTTAACGCTACCACTAGAGAAATGATTGAAGAGAGGCGATAACAGTACTTCTTGTTTATATCAAAGGCTATCAAGCCATCCATCCTACTGATACTTTTACTATTAATAACTTTTATGTAATTCTCGACTGACTACTAAAAAAATAAAAGACACTGGCTGAATTTTGATTAATATTTTTGTTTTTAGTAACTAATATGAGATATCGATTTCTACCATATTTCCATCCTTTGTTACTGTGTCTGAAACAGGAGAAGTATAGTTACAAAATACATAGGTTTCTTACATGTTATACGTAACAAATAGAAGAGGGAAACTGTTTATAGTTTTCATTTATTTTTTCTCAACATTGCTATATATAATGTCCAAGTTGCACGTCTATTGCATGTCTGAGGCGTATTTCTCTCTAGAAAATGGCGAAACTAATCTCAAATACGTCGCCTTCAAATACTCACAAAAGGGAACACAATATTTTCGCTATTCTGAATGTCATTATATTCAGCATACCATGCGGTTGTAACGAAATTTTAATGTATGCATTCTGTTGCAAGTTTGGTCTTGTTGAAGTGGTTACTGC